TCATCGTCCCCCCCCCCCGACCCAGGCCACCACTGGGGCACACAGTGATGAGTGTATGTTTGGCTTGTGAAACATGGGGAGGATGTAAATGTTTCACGGGAGGGGTGAAGCTGTGGGTAAAACCTCTCGATTCACTGGGAATGACATGATGCTTTATTGGCTATTCGCATGAGTACAGATATATTCAAATTCTTTCATTTTCACATATCCCATCATGCTCTCCTTTGAGACGTATGCAGCTGAGAGTGAAGCTTGGGCTTAGCCATTTATCCAGGACGGGTTTAGGGTGGAGCCCAAGGGCCTGACAGCAATGCGACTGTTATGCTGGCCATGAGATTCAAACTAGTGACCTACTGATCACATAGGCCACACGCCACCCCCCAGAGCTGCTCGCACAGAGGTGAGAGATCAGGCACCCAGCCCAGTTTACATGGGTTTATGATTCTGCTTGGATGCTGATAAAATGGAGCCGTTCCATCCTGCAGCCGCCGTGCCCTTTAAGTCTGCTCGTCCTCTATAAGAACACGGCTCCTGCAGCCCCGACCAGATATCTGATGCTCGTTGACATGCTGTTTCAATTATCTCCTGCTGAAATGCCGCTTGGTGCCGTTTATTTGGACAATGTCAGACTTCGCCACCCCAGGGATTCTGGGCCGGTGTCTGATTTCCCCTACCCACTTCAGTTAGTGTGTGTGTGTGTGTGTGTGTGTGTGGGGGGGGGGGTTACCGGGAAATTGCCAGTCTTCTGTACAGCTATTGTAGGGCTTTGCTCGGTAGGGGCTCAGCGGGGAGTCCGACAGGCTCACTCCTCAAGGGCCCGGCCCGTCCGCCACTATGTGTTCAGAACGTGCAAAGGTTTCTCCCTGGTTCACTTGGGTTTTCTCTGAATGCTCTGGTTTCCTACCATTGTCCAAATATTTGCAAATATGCAAACTAGAGTCTCTGATTTTGTGTCTGTTGTGTGATAGAATGGCATCCAATCCCATTTGTCTCCTGCTTGGATAGCTGCCTTTCCTGGCTCACCCTGGCCCTGTACCGGATGGATGGATGGATGGATGGATGGATGGATAGATCACTTGTTCTATACAGGGTTGCAATGATTGTTCAATATACTGCTTTGAATTTGAACCATGAAAGCCAACAAATACACTGAGTATCTAAGCATTCCACGGATACAACATGCTGTCTGTGGCCAGGTTCTATGTGGGATCGGCCACTGGTTCCCAGTGGATATGCACCGGTCTGATGCTGGGAGTAGGTATTCGAGTCCCACAAGTGAAAAGCCATTGCAGAGGTCATGCACCTTGTCACCGAAGCTGCTTCAGACTATAAGAGTGGGATGTTTCACAGGAGACATCGGGCTCCAGTGTTCAGCTCCAGGGTGCGGAGGCAGGGCCTCCAACCGGTGATCCAGGATTTACAGAACCAAGGCCCTAATCGCAATTCCGCTGAACCGC